AAAAAAAAAAAAAAAAAAAAAAAAAAAAAAAAAAAAAAAAAAAACAAAAAAAACAAAAAAAAAAAGAATCACAAGAAAGACTCGGGCTCGCGTCGCCAGGCCGCGTCTTCTTCGTCTTGGTCTTGGTGGCGTGAAAGTCGTCGGTCCAGTGGGCGTTGGCGGTGATGGTTGTGGTGACACCGGTTGATGTGTTGTCGTAGGGGAAGGCAAAAGGCGAGACGTCACGGCCTTGTCGGGCAGGCGCCATCGTCATCTTTTGAGGGGCACCTGCACCTGGTGCTCCTGCTCCTGCTCCTGCTCCTGCTTCTGGTGCGGCTTCTGCGCCTGCTCCTCCAACGGTTGCGCCCGCCGCGTTGGGCCTCAGCCGGTCCCACATTGGAGCTACTTAGTTTTGTTAGGGGCGGGGGGTGAGAGGGGGGGGGCGGAAGGAGGGCTCGGTCGTGTTTGAGGTCAGGGTCCCTTGGAAATTAGCGCTCAGGCGCCTGTACTCCGCCTGCTTCTGCTTCTGCTTCTGCGTAGAACGAAAGCCGTGTGCAGGCGGGAGATGCTGTTGGAACCCGTCCAGCGCCTCGAGGCAGACAGAGACAAGGCGAGACAGCAGACGCTGAGACTAAATCAACAGGAGAGATGCCTCAATCTCAATGCACCGTTTCTTCACACCCACACACCCACACACGCTTGAGGGCTGCCCGAAAGTATTTGGAAGCACTGTCTGCATGAGATGTCGACGATGTTCCCTGTCTTCAAACAACCGGTTCGCTTCCCGATCCGAGCCTGGAAGACGGGGTGCCTTGCCCTTACGTCGTGGGTGGCGGAAGGGGTCGTGTTTCAATTGGCCTCGGCGGCTGACGGTTCGAGGAGAAAGCTGTGTTGTGTTGTTCGGCGTGTATGTTTATTTTCGTCTTTTCGGAGGGGGGCGATGCGCAGGAGCTGTGTGGCTGTCGGAGCCAGTAGTTGGGATGACGACGGATTTGGGGGCCTCGAGGCCAAGATGCAACAACAATAAATCCACGGTACCGTTGGATGCTGGAGGCGAGGCAGACAGGTGCAACAGGTGTGCTCACAGCAAAGACCCAAGACTAGGTGGCAGAAAGGACGACAAGCCTGACCATGCCAAAATGGCAGCGCGGGACAGAGAAAGAGTGACGGCGAAAAGAAGCAAGACAGACGCTGCGCAACGGAAGAGAACCGCCCAGCCGAGGAGAAAGGAGGACAGAAAGTCTTTTCTCGCGAGATTCGTCAACAGAGAAGGGCAGATGCTCCCATTCATATGAGGATCACGAGTCCCCCCCTGGCGCCTGGTCATCGCATGCATCAGGTTGGGGTTAATTACCTGCCTTTATTACCTACCTGTCTTACTTGTTGTACCTTGCCAGCCGGCACACACGCGAATGTCAACAGACATCAGTCATGTCATGCCACGGGCGGCACGGTATCATCAGACGGTTGGTTGGCTGACGGGGGGCAGGACATAGCGAGACTGGGCTGGGCTGACTGAGGCAGCTCGGTGCTCACCACCTGTACGTGCACAGCGCCTGGCCTCGCCTAAGGTACCTGCGCTAGCTGCTGTCGGCGGTACGACGCTGTCATCCTTTTGTGCCTCGAGTCGAGGACTGGCCCATCTGGGCAGTCAACTTGGCCAGGATCAAAAGGGCCTGGCGTCTGTGCCTGCGCCAGTTGTCGAACCATCCAAGCCATGTGTTCCTCTCATCAGCCTGGCCATCCTCATCAGCCTGGCACAAATCGCAAGCCATGACCTCCGTTGGCTCAGCCCTTCCGTCTGCGGATGTTTCCCCGTTTCAACACTACCGGCCTCATCACCAACCATTCTCCCCCTACCCTACCTACCTTACCTATCCTACGATATACAATTCCCTGAAAAGCGGCCTGCAGCTTGAGAAGCGACAGCCCGGTGGGGCAAATGTCAGGGGCCGCGGCGCCGTTTCATCCCCGCCCCCAGGGGTCCAACCACAGAGGACATTTCTTGAAGTCACCAGGCCTGGCTCCCCTTTGGGCTCCCCTCCCCCAGTCATCCAAAGGACCTCCTGGTCCCTGCACCAGGCGTCGGCCCAGTTCAGTGAAAGCCAAAGCGCATCACAATCTGCCTTCATCAACTTCTTGTAATGAACACTTCACCTCCCCCCCCCCCTGCACCGGAGCCACCTTCCCGTCGGCATACTCAGGCCGTCCGGGCTCGGAGAGATCACATCTCGGCAGTGTGTCTCTCCTGCCTGGCTTGGTGACGGGAACTGCTGCGTGAGGGGGGGAACAGGGGCGCGGAGGCTGCGGCTCGGAAATTTCACGACCAAGGAAGGTATTTTTTTTTTTTTTTCGTTTCCCGGAATGCCTGGGTGCTACTACCTACTCCTGGAAGCTTGCCTGCTTGGCTTATTCAGAAGCACAAGTTTCTGGCCGCCCCAACCTGATGGACAGCTGCCTCTTCCCATGGTTACTTAGAGATGGCCCCGCCGCTCCGGGATGCGACGCCGATCCGGACGGCGAGACCAGACGAAACCGAACCGAGGCCTGGTGGGGATGGATGCGCTTGTGCTTTTTTACCTCTCGGTTCTTCAGACGAGGGGTCTGAGGGTGTCGCCTGCGCTGTCTGTCAGTGTCCATACGGGCCTGGCCTGGGCTGGACGAACGAGACGATAGAGAGGGCACATGTTGACATACGACCATGCTCGGTCCTTGCCTGTCCCTTGCTGCCGCCAATTTGTCATGATCATCAGTCCTCACAGCTGGCACATGGGGTCCTCGAGGGTTGCGGTGCGTTGCAGGGACCGAAAAGCCACGACGTTTCTTCTTGCGACGAGAGCTTCTCTGAGAAAGGAAGCTCTCCAAGTATCACATGTCTTCTCGAAGGACTGCCCTACGATCTGCATACTGTCCTGGGGAAGATCTCCGACAATGTCAGTGTTTGATCGCAGAAGGGGGGGGCATGCAGCGAAGTGCTCGGGCGCCATTCAGCCTCGATGGGACGATCTGGCATGTGCTTGAACACAGACAGGGTCGCGATGACCTGCAGGAAAGCCACGATGTCACGTTGGGAGTGTTGGAGTCGAAAGTCAGCCATCATGGCGCAGGCGCGTCTGGCTGTGTATTTTGACTTCTCGCCAAACCCTCTTTGCTGGCTTTGAAACAATCTTATGCAAGCCTCGCTCGCAAGCCCGGCTTGCAGATGGCCTGACTTGCAGATGAATCCTGCTGAAATCAGTGCAGTGTCAGGTCACATGCATACCAGCAAGAAACACACACGCTCTCCATGATATGAACCACTTTTGGCGATGGAAATCCCATATGCGCCAGGGCGATGTAACCTCATGCGTTATGCTCCAGACAAAAGATCATCCTCGGTCCACAAAGCGCCCAGAACCAGAATCCCGTGCTCGAGCAACACCAGGTTCTCCGAAAAAAAGTCCCAGAACCCAGAACCGCCGTCAGATCCACGCCCTCGCCTCGACCCAGACGGCAAACCCAACGCAGACACCCGTGACCCCGTGCAGCACCGACACGCCTCGTCCTGCCGCCGTGCTCGGCCCCGGCACTCCCTTGCTCGGCGCCGCGCTGCTGGTGCTCCGGCCCCCGCCGCCCTCGTGATCGACGTGGAACTCGTCCGACAAGCCGGCGGGCGCGCACGCCGTGCCCTCGGCCAGGTCCATGACGATGCTCCACTGTCCGCTGGCACAGCGCTGCCACTGGCGCGTGAGGCAGTTCCACTGTCCTTCCGATGAGCAGGCGGCGCCGGGAGATTGTTGACGGCGCGTCAAGGGGAGAGCCGGCGGTGGCGGTGCTGGTGATGATCGATGCGGCTGTGTGTGGAGCTGGGCGTCGCTGGTGAGATCTCGCCGTGTTGATGCGTGACTGTTTGCGTTTTCTGACCTCGGCGAAGACGAGGCTACGGCGACCAACAGGGCAAGAAGCAGGCTGAAAAGTGTCGACGTCTTCATGTTGGTTGTGTCGTGG